AATCATGGTTGCAGATTAAATGCTCTGCCTGTCATGGCTTAAACCCAACTGGTAACTCAGCTCCACGCAGCCATGCACTCACCTCCATCTCCCCTTCCACCCCCAGATGGGATGAAGAGGAGAATCAAAAGAATGTAATCCCCATGGGTTGAGACAAGAACAGCCCAATAACTAAAGTACAATACAATACTACTAATAACAAAAACGATAAGAGAAACGATAAGAGGAGAGAACATAAAACTAAAAGGGGAAAGAAAAAAAATTCAACAATAAACAGCAGTGATGCACAACACAATTGCTCACCACCTGCTGACCGATACCCAGCCTGACCCGAGCAGCAACCAGTCCCTTCCAGGTAACTCCCCTCCATTTTATAACCTGGCCATGATGTGCTGTGGTATGGAATACTCCTTTGGCTAGTTTGGGTCAGGTGTCTTGTCTCTGCTCTCTCCTGGCTTCTTGTGCCCCTCTTCACTGACAGAGCATGAGAGACTGCAAAGTTCTTGATCAGGGTAAGCACAACTGAGCAACAACTAAAACATCAGTGTGTTACCAGCATTATTCTCAGACTAAAGCCAAAACACAGCACTGCACCAGATAATAGGAAGGACAAAAATAACTGTTACAGTTGAACCCAGGACACTTCCGAACTTCTAACAGTCCACCAAAAAAATGAGCAACATATGTTTTTGCAAATGCTTCAGACACCTGAGTTAAAATCCACTGTAAGTGATGATCTCTGCCTTATCTGCACACAGATTATTCCTTAAGCTTCAACACAATATCCCACACGTTTAACCTGTCACCATATTTGGGACAGTTTGCCCAAATGAGAACGAATTATCAAAAGATCAAATGGTACCTTACAACACTAAATACTATAACAACGTATTGACCAACATACTTGTTACCTATCAGTTTTATGTATATTAACACTGAATTGAATGGACAATGATGTGCATGCAGAAAGTTCATAAATACAATTTAAACACCCAGAGACATACACATGATATGGAAGACAGAGAAGTATAGCAAGGTGATTGGGTGGAGATGATGATGGCCTTTCAGATACAGATTTCTTCAATAATGGCTTCTCTATCCCATCAAAGTCAATCATTTCACCTGTGATACCGAACAATCAACACAGATGCGAATGCTCTTGCTACTTCTTTCTGAACAGTTGCATGCTCATCATTAACCTCCTCAGTACAGTTACGGCAACCAAGTACAATACTACTGAGTAACTTCTGCAGAGTCAGATTTCCAAATTTAGGGCTTTCTGGTTTACTGTCTCTTTTTGTCCAAAATGCAGACACTGGATCAATATTTTGACTGCAAGTTTTCTGGTTCTTTTGCAATTTCACCATTTTTGCAAAAGTACTTGCAAAACGTCACTTCACTTAATTCAGCTTGTAAATACAAGAAACTTGGAATGAACTGTGAATCACCTGGTCAGAATATTGGATCCAATACACAGATGTGCATTGTAACAGGCTGATAACAAAGGCCCTGGTACATGTACCTAATTACACACATTATGTTCAGCTGAGGTCTAGAAGCAGAATCGCTTTCATGATATGGCACAAAAGCTCAGTTACTAAAGTCAGATCCAAGGTGCTCTCTATCAGAAATAATTACATGATCTCTATGGATTCAGCTGGCCTTCATATTTCCTATGAAACAGAAAGGAAAAATATTAAATTATCCCTTTAAAGCTCAAAATGTATGCATTTTTAACAAGTGATTAGGTACAAAAATGGCTTGACAAAAAATTTAACTACGTTATTATCTCAATTTGAATGGAAAACTGGAAGCTAAACATGGGTCAGAATTCAGATTTCTTAAATGTGAAACCTAGGTTTTTATTTACAGTAGTTAAATTGTGGAATACACACCTGGCACACAAAATGAGTAAAAAATAAACCTAAACTACCTGTTGATAAAGTTCCAGCACTACTCCTAACCCAAAATCTGTTTCAGTCCTTCTGGGGTACCAAATTCCTTTAACCAATGCAGGAAGATGCTCCCTTTGGATGCTGTGCTTACCTACAAATTTTTCCACTATCGATTCCCGAGTCACCAGGTCTCTGAAGGCTCCCTTCAGGTTACCGATGAGCCCCCGGACCTCCTGGCTCTCTGTGAAGCTCTCCAGGATGCTTCTTGTGGTGATGACACTCGCCTCCTGGTTCTTGTCTTCCTCTGGCTCCGACCCCATTCCATCCATCTCGCCCAAAGCCATGTCCGCCGCCGGCCGTCACCGCTGCCTCCCAAAGCTGGGCAGAGCAAGAGCCGGTCAATGCACCAGAGCCCACCCCTGCCCTCTGCCGTCCCTCCCTCAGGCGACACCGCCGCTCCCCACACATGGCCCACGACAGCCCCGCCCGCCGCCATGCGGCCCACCGCGCCCCTCCCGGGCACAGCGGAGGCCCGGGCCAGCCCAGCCCTACCGCGCCTCCTTACGCTCTCGGGGACCACGAAGACGCCGACGGCAGCACCGGGGAGTGCGAAGGACGCGCTTACCCCCACGCCGCCTCAGACCCGACCCCGCCCGGCCGCGCATTACCCTGGCAACCGTAGCGGCGCTGCCCGCAACCTGCCCGCGCTGCCCGGCACAGCCTCGCTCCTACGGGGCGCCGCGCGGGACCAAAGGGTGCAGGGGCGGCTGCGCGCCCGCGCGAGACCACGCCTCCCAACCGCCGAGCGGACGGCTGAGGGGAGGCTGAGGAGGGGCTAAGGAGAAGGGCTGAGGGGAAAGCCTGAGGGAAAGGGCTAGGTTCCTTGGGGACGGCCGGCATTTCTCAGTGTTTATTGCGGATCCTGCGAGCTGCCGGCCCGGACAGGCCTGGTTTACGCTTCTTCAGCGGGCTGGGGAACGTCCCCCTCCATCTCTGCTCTACCTTGTTCTGGCTGCGAATGCTCCTGCACGCCATCGAGCCCGCTCCTGACACCAGGAGGAACCGTCCTGAATCCGTCTCCCAGATCAGCTTGCGTAGGTTGCAAAAGGCGTTTGGAAGGCAAGTGGATTACGCCGTTATCCGTAACCATGTTAATTTCGTACCCTATCCATACCAAAACATCAAATGCCATGGTTAGTATCGTAACTTATTATCTAAATCTCTTGAAATTCTGGAAACACCTCATTATCTCATTCCTTAACATTCTGGAAACAAAGTTTGAGTGCTGCAAACTACAACTGCAGCAAAAAAGGGAAGGGAATTAAGTGGGCAAACTAACACCAAGTGTCTGTCCCCTCACTGCAGTTAATGGTCTCACACCAGACTCTTTCCCGTCAGGAAGCTGTTTTGTCATACTTCAGCCCAAAGCACAGAACATGGCCCGCTCTTCCCACACACTTTTCCCCTCGCTACTGGGTATTTTACCTGGTAACAGCACTACTTCTCCACTTGGCTCTTGACACATCCCCAACACTAGGAAGCTAAAGTTGGGCTGTAAAGTAGGCATGAACTAAGTCACCTCAGTTATCTTTTCACTTAATAGAAAATAAACCTGGAAGATCAGACCAGCTAACAAACTGAGTGCTCAGGTTGAGATGAGCCACCTTCTGAGGCATGCATTTCACCCTTAATTATAAAGGAAACTAAGAGAAACACTTAAATCTGGTCAGGATGTTAGGGCTGGAAACTTCTCTTGCCCAGTATCCAGCAACTCCATCCACACCCAAATCTCCTATCTTCAGGCTCAAATTTGTTAAAGCAAACCACAGTCACAAAAAGCAGGCACACCAAGCATCTAGCTTCTGCAAGCCAAGTATTTTATTTGAGAAGGAGCCTAAGTTCACATGTGCTTTCCAATGTAATACATGTATCTTTGTTAACATTAATACTAGTATGCATGCACTTTGCTGTTTGCTCAGACCTAGATCCAGCTGTCAGCTATGAATTCAGCTGTGTTCTAACTCCACTACTCCACTTTTCCACTGTTATAATTGTATTAAGAGGTATAACCACACAATGACAACTTGCCATAATAGCCCAAATTCAAAGGAAGTACGAAATTTTAACTATTTGTATTACATTTACAGAGAACAAAATGCATTTTTAAAACATTCGTATCAATCACAACAATATAACGTTAAATTTCATGAAATCTTTATAGCATAGCCATTTTAAAGCTGATGAACAGCTAAACATACTTGTACATTTTTGTTTAAGTATTAGTCATGACAACTGCCTGAAGCCTAAATAATGTGAGTTCAGTCATTGTGACTCACATCCTCTGATTCACATAAACATTTGTTGGACTGTACTTACATTTACTTTCTTTATCACTTTCTTCTATTAAAAAATACATGGATTTGCTAATGTACTCTAGCTCACATTGTATGCCAGTATCTTTGGTGCACATCTCCCAAATTCTCACTGCCTATGTTTTCTGCAAAAATAAAGCAATTAGGAATATTAAAAAACTTGATAAAGTCATCTTATTTGACACTGTTCCTTCAGTACTACAGCAGCAGCAGATGAGCTTTGCCTACTGTACATTGTTTTCTAAAACTGAAAACACATCAAGCACCAGCCACCACAGCAGCAACAGATGCTTTCTTGTCATCAAAACACTAAATCTCCCTCCCACATTTTGCTATCTTTTTACAAGGTTATTTAAATATGTTACTATCACAGTATAACACATTAAAATATTGTACCAAAACTATGATATGTCATTGTCAAACTTGTTTGGCAACAACCCACTTTCTGACCATACAGGCAATTACCAAGAAACTACAGAGACATTCTTTTTACAAAATACCACTGTAATTTAATTTCTCATAGCAATTAAAAAAAAAGTAAATTACATTAAATTAAAATAAATATTTAAAATGTTATTAATTATATATGCTTGCCAAGTGCAGTCTAAAGGGCCTTGCTACTCTTTAAATCAAAAAGAGAATGTTTTCATTTTTAGATTCACAGAATCAGATTTAAACTGTGGATTAGAACACTTAACATGGAAAAGACAACAGAAGTATAAATGGGAAAAGGGGAGACACAAGGAACTAGTCAGTACTTCCAGCTCCACAGTCCCACAGCAGTAGCTTTCCATAATGAACTGCTGACAGAGGAGCAGCAGAACCAAAATGTGCAACCAACCATGGAACACAGCAGCTAGGAAGAGAGACTCTCTACGGACAGTAAGGTGAAGCTGACTGTCATGCTACTTTTCCAACCTAGTGGAGTCTTCACAAACAAGGCAGTCTTTCCTTCAGCAGGGTATGATTCTGTGCTAGTAAACTAGTAAGTTAGAAATTACACAGTCACTCAACATTTAGTGAGGTTCAAAAGTGTACTTAAGCCTTTTATCTTTCAGGTATTTGACCATCAGCATTAATTCCTAGTTTGGGTTACTTCTGATAAGCAGGGGCTGTTCCTTATTAAGGAACTCTATCAGGATTTCTCAACTTACCTGGTCACTTTAGGAGTTTTTTCATTACATTTAGGGTAGATCCCCTGTACCCCGTCCCAAAATGGTTCCAGTGGTTTATGTAATTAAAGAGCTGATACAATTTGTTTCGTTTCTCAAATCCTGGAGCTTTGGGTATTTTACTGTGATAGGCAGAGAAAAAACAGCTACTAAACCCACCAAACATTCCAGCAATGGCCAGTTCAAATTCTGAATGTCCATAGAAGGAAGCAGGGTCAAAGATAATTGGCCCAGAGTCGTCCTCAGCCACATTTCCTGCCCACAGGTCCCCGTGCAGCAGAGCAGGAACGATTTCTATGTCACAGAACATTTCAGGAATCTTTAGCTGAAAAAGCATGAGTAACACAGAACAATTAAAGAGCTTTAAAGACAATATTAAATAAAAGTACTGTAGTATATAAGAGTCTGAGCTGGTCAAATACTGTCTATTTTCAGTCATGGAGTGATTTTGCAATTAATGACTACAAGCATAAACTTAAACTGCAAGTCAGTAAATGTTCTTGACAGAGCTTAGCAAATCATTTAATTCAGTCTAGCAACAGCATCTACTATTAATGTATTGTTTCTAGGCATGCACAGTATTGGCTGTCACAAGAAAAATCAATTTTAATTAAAAGTTTTCAGTGGTAAAAGGGGCAGCAGTAAACATCTGTAATGATTATCCAGAATTAAGGACCAAATCTAATGCAGAGCTTGCAGAGGAGTACATTCCTGGCTGTTCCGTTAAGTGCTGCTTGAAGCTTGACTTGAACACAGCAGTGAGCTTGGACCAGTTAAAAAAAAAATAAATCAAGAATCTGCCTGAGCAGCAGAATCTTACCTACTTTGTAACACCAAGATCCTAGATGGGATTTAGCATCTTATTATTACTAGCTATATTCTAAGAAATAAATGTCAGTGTCAAATTACAGTTTTAGCTATCTACAAAAAAACCTGAAAGAGCAACCTGAATCCTTTTCAGCTGACAATATTAGGTCTGCTGTGAAGCTAACCCCGTTACTGCTGCTCTTTAAAAGCTATGTAAATCCCTTATAAAAAACACCTTTAAAATTCGCTGACACATATTTCCTAACATTTAAAGAAAAAGATTTAAGACATGGTTCATACTTTTAGCTGTGACCAAAGTTCTCTGGCTTCTCTGTCCCCGTAATCTTTTTCAATCAAATCCATCTGAGCTTGGAGTCGATGGCGAATAAAAAAGGAAGGCCAATCACTCTCCCATTCATTCACCTACAGGATACGATAGAGAGATCTGTCATGAGCAATAGTGGTCAATATTAGTAATAGATAAATATCAAGTTAAAATGCTTGATGCTGACACAATGGCCAAGACGGTATTAGTATGACCTATGCATGACAGAGCCTTGGGTGACATGGTCTAATGTGAGGCACCCCTGCCCATGTCAGGGGGGTGGAAGTAGGTGATCTTAAGGTCCTTTCCAACCCTAACCATTCTGTGATTCTGTTTTGCTGATTGTTCTTTTGGGAGTGATGCTGTCTTCCATGCTTAGGTCAGCTGTCTGTAACATGAGACATAAGTTGAGGTTCTAGCTATTTTCATTTATTCAAATTTTCTTAATGTATTTTACATGGAGAGTTTCTGGTGAGATCATGTCAACTGTTCCATATTATATTCCAAAAGCTTTCTGGCAATGCAAAAGTATTAATTCATTTTTATTGGATAATGTGTTTCTAATTTGTTAAAAAGTTATACTTGAGTTTGAGGTATTGAAAGTTCAGTCAGTTAAATAGTAAAATGAAATGCTCCCATGTGCAGAGGCAGCAACTAACAGATCGATCTCTCAGAGCCCTGTCCAATGTCTTCTGTGTTACATGATGAGGCTGTCTAACAGCAGTGGATTTTGCCAGTTGAGTTCTATGTAGTAGGGGTTTAGAAAAAAATCAAAACCAAGACATGGTATGTGAAGGGATACTTATTTTATGAAGTACTGCCAACTTAAAGAACTACCACATAATTTCAAATGCTTATTCGACCCAGTCTGTGATACACGCATTGTAGCAAGCCACATGCATTGAACAGCCATCATGTCACTGTGCTATCAGTGAAGTAGTGAAAGCAAAACTGTTATTACAAAGGTGAAGAGCAGTGAAACAAGCTTTTTTAGGAGTTTATACACCTATACGAGTACATGTGAGCTTTCACAGACAGGGAGCATACCTGGGCTATATAACCACAGCAAGTGGGTGTATGGAATCCAAATTTATCCACGTACTGAGACTCAGAGTGACCTGCTCCTTTACCTAAGAAACAAAACAAATATTGCCAGTTTTGAGATCCTTACATACTCAAGTTTGCAAAATATGGAACTAAATTTCAGAGAATAGGCATACAAAATAATTTTAAACAGCAAGTTACACTTCTTTCATGGTAAAAACCTTCTCTAAAGATGTAAAGAACTCTCTTAAAATTGAAGATACTGAATGGAAATGGAGGCCAAATTAGTCACAGTTAGTGACTTTTCTTTGAATGAACCAGTTAGACATTCAGGAACAGAGCCAGATACCAGGTTCACAATCTCCTGTTCTGACACTTGAACATGTTATCATTAAACATGGCTTATTTTTGATTCATAGGCTATTTGTAAGCTGGCAGGTAATTTGGCCTTCACTCAGAAATAATGGAAGTCTTGGGAAAGACACAGGTACATACCTGGTGGTTCAGGCTTGAATACTAACAGTAGTGAGAGAATAATTCTTCATATCCCTTCCCTTTTTTTAAATCATTTTATTTATGCCTTAATCCACTTTCCAAAGAATGATGTGTTTTAATGATGTGTTTTCACTGAAGTCAGTAGAAACCAGATCATGACCTTATGTTGCTGAATTACAGTTGCCTCCAAGGAGCAATTGTTGTACATTTTACTACATATTCAAGTTCAAAAATGTAATCCCCAACATCTTTAAAGGGGAACTTAATTATGTGTTTACTAACTGGGACCATCTGCTGAAATAATTTAATTGCCTAAACCAAAAGTAAGAAAAAAAAACAGCAGAGGATTTCTGTAAGGTCAGGAACATTGCAAGAGGTTGATGGTATATGAGGCTGAAAGGTTTTACTGACAAAGAGAACGAGTCCAAATTTTATGTTTGACTTGTGAAACACTATCAAGTCTTAGCACTGTTTCTTACTAAAGTTCAGTATCTGCATGCTTATATACAACAAAGTACATACAAAATGAAGAATCAAAAATAACTTACTTTTGTCAAGGTAAAAATGGTATGTTTAAAAATTATAATAGTAATTCCTGTGTATAATGCACACTTGAGAAGTGTGGCATAAGGACAAGAGGGACAAATCTCATGAGTGTCCAGGCACTGACCTTGTCATTAAACTGATAATGCAATACTGTACTACAGCCAAATTAATTACTTAATTTTTTATTTAGTACATGATACCAATACTATACCAATTGTGTTTCCCTCCTTTCTCAATTTCTCTCCAAGTTTCTGGTTATAAAGATGGAGATCTGCCATCTGCTCTCCAAGCTTTGAACAGTACCTGTAGGATCAAAAAACAAAATAAAAACGAAACAAGACAACTGAACAACATATTACAGGGGAAAAAACACTCAATTAAATATTATCGAGTATATTTCTGACAAGTATAGAACCTTAAACAATTTCACAAGTGCATAAAGAGGAGCAAATGACAACTCTTTAGTTGTAATGGATAATTAAGTGAACATAAGACAAAGCTCTTGCAAGAAAGATAAACAGAACACAAGATTGTAAAAACAGGAGCATAGAGAGCAAAAGGATCAAGTAAACCTCCTTATCAGCTCCACATGAAGCACAGAACATGGTATCTACTTGTGGCCCTCGAACTTTGAGATCAGCCAAATAGCAGTTAAGAATAGTGAGTCTAAAAAGAAGCCACAGACAAGGATTGAGTTGAGGCTGCTTAATGCAGAAGACAGACAAGTGAAAAGCAGTTATAATACTGCACAGATAGCTGAACAGAAGCTGCAAGGATGGAAACTAATTTCTTCTCCATGTCTAGAATGAGTAGAAAATAATGGGTTTACAATTGCAACCAGGAAGATTGAGGTTAAACACTAGAAAATCTTTCATGGGAACAGTGGGGTGATTTGGAAAGGACTGTTTGGGAGGCTGTGGAATTGTTATTCTCCAAATAAAAATAGATAGGTTGGGGAAAAAAAACCCCAAACAAGCAAAAAAAAAAACCACAAAAAACAAAAACACACAAAAAAACCCAAACATAAAACCAACACCAGAAGAGCCTTAGGCATTACTATGTCCCTATAGAGGCCCAGAACAAAGCAGTTAATTCCTGAAAGCCTATATTCAGGAGCTTATGACTAATGGGCTAAACTCAGCCATTATGTCATTCACTTTGGTAGCATTTCTGCACATGTGGACCAGCACATAAGGCTCCAGGCTAGTGATGGCATGCCCATTCTGCTGCAGCTAGAGGATTAGGGAGGAGCAAAGTATGAGGAAGTAGTGTATACACACATGTACATAGGTATATGTATGTATTTTTTTAATATATAGACACAAAAAAAGCATGGATCATAACAGATATAAGCTCTGTCTCTGAGAGAATAGAGATTCTTGTCATAAAGTTTTCTCACTGAAAACATGCCCCCAAAACGTAGTAGAAAGAAAAAGAGACGTCCAGGCGCACCTTTTGAGGCTCTTCATCTTGAGGTATTCCATGACAAACATTGCTCCTCCTCCAGGCAGGTCAATCACTTTGATAGGCTGAGGCACTCTCACAATATTGGTCTTCTGAATAGCTTCCAAACTTGCCATTTCTCCTTCAAACATCTTTCTAGCCTGTCAGGGAATAAGAATATCCTTGGGCTAAACTATGGAAGTCTGCAACAAGTACTTTGGAAAAAATAGCCCTGTTTATTAAGTTACAAGGAGATGAATTATCTTGGATAAAAAATGTAGCTACAGCAAGCTTTCACTCCACACAGGGAGACTTGAGCTTCTTAATTCTTTTTTTCCCCAAATTCATTCCAATGTAGTAGAATACATCACATTTCACCATGATTTCCAGTTGCATATGGAGATACCAAACTACAGAGACTAACAGTACCTGTGAGGGTAACACCCAAGACCACTTTCTTTAAAACCACAGATAACCACTATAAAATGAGGTCAAAGACTGAATCCTTCATCTGGTTCCCCTCTCCATGTAAGTCAATGGCCACTAGGTGGAGAGATGGCAGTACAAATACTAAGCCTGTACTCCCTGCTTTTGAGATAAATATGCTCTTCCTCACAGCAGTTTTAGTATTGTTTTTATATTGATAAAACAAATTGTGGTGTTATAAAATCAATTCAGTATTCATTTAGTAATAGGAAAGTGAAGAACTTGGCCTTAAAAATTGCAAGAATCTTACTGGTAGATATAAAGAAAGCAATGGGGAAGGTTGAAACCCTGCAGCTTTAAACATAAAGCATGGGTTTTAGCACTGGCACCCTGTTCCCTCCCTCCCACTATTCCCAACTGAAACACAAAAAGGAATGCAGTGAATGCAAACTCAGCTCTAGGCTTTTCCAGATTCTAAGTGCTACAACAACAGCTCTGTACTTTGCCTCCTTTTACATGTTGCAATGCCAATTCCTGTTGTTGAGGGTTATCACATTGCATTCCATCTCATTCTGCATTAACCAAACCTATTGCACATTAATATTTCACATAAAATAGACAGCAACTTTTAAAAGAAATGAAAACTGGAATAATTCAAAGTCAGCCTGAAAATGCAGAACTCTAAATCATTAACAGTCAGGCACTTTTAAAATAAAAAGATCTCTACATGCAGTAATATTAGTAGTTAAATATCTGCATTAACCTGAGATTTATGGTTGACTTTAACAAATACTCGTCCACTGTCAGTTTCATAGGCTTGGCCTTGGCTAATGTATCCTCCTCCCGAGCTTCCAAATGCCTTCAGGACGGATGTTTTCAATTCTGTCTTCAGGATCTTTTCCATGGTCGTTTTCAGACTGCTGCAGCTGCTTTCTGCTAAATCCACTGCGAAACAGGATAAGGTTTGGGTCCTTCTTTCACTGTCACTCAGCTGTGAGGTAGGAAGGGCTGCCCACCAAATAAAACAAACCAGCAGCCAAAGGAAAAAAACAAAAGGCAAATGCAGAGATAATGTTTCAAAATGCTCTTCCCCGTGGGCTGTAATTACATGAAAAATAAAAGTATTTAGAAATACTTGCTAGAATAAATCGGGGAGGTGTGTCCTGGGTCCTCTCGCGACTGTGCTGAGAGCTGCTGGTATTTGTAGTTTGGACCCGTTTTTCTTTTTTAAGCTCTCTGCTCGCACTGGGGAGGCACTGCTAAACCAAGCCACTAGAGGGAGGCTCAACGCAACAATATAAATTACGCACTTGTGCTGTTCTGTGGGTATTTACAACATGAAAAATGTTCCAGCCCATAAGGGTGTAAGTTCAGTCACCAGAAATATGTGCAAAGGTTGGTGGGTATTTTCTCTGGTAGTACTTGCTTTGTGTGAAGTGGAGTTTTGTTGTCATCACAGAGATCTTTAGAATGCTTTCCCTTCTTGGGACAGAATTCCATCTCTTGCAAGAAACAGTCAAAAGATTTTTATTGCCTGAAAGCATCCTCAAGTCAGTGATATAGCAAAGTGCTCAGGGCTGAACATTATCTGGTGAAAATTCACAGGAAAAGCATCAAGCTGGTAATAAAGAAGTTTAGACACTGTTCCTATATACTTCTCCAGATTTAACATGATCTTTAGACTTCATTTCACCTTTTCATCTCCTTTCACAACCTAACACACAGAAATAAGATCCCTTATGTACTACTGAATTTAATCAATTCCTGCTTGCAAAATGCGCTGACACCTTCAGTTATATGTCAAACCTTTAAAACATGTTACCATAAACTTTGAAAACATGCTGCAACCCAGACACTGCAGTATTTGCTTTAATGTGCCTTCATAAAGACAACCTTTTTGGTTTGATGACTGACTCCTGGCACATTCCAACCCATGGGGAAGGCTGTTCTTGGAGCAGCAATGCCTACCACCACCTCTGCTGGGAATTTCTGAATTCTGTTACCACTGTTGCACTATCCATCTTCATCCACAATATTACTACTGAATGCAACATTTTTGCAGTCTAGGATGCCATGGACTGCTTTTTCCGAGCTCAAGATCGGAGCATCCCGACACGTAGGAAGTCGAGGAAGAGGGTCAGGAGACCTGCGTGGTTAAATAGGGAATTGCTCGGTATGCTCAAGTGGAAGAGGAGAGTTTACAGGTCATGGAAAGAAGGGCTGGCCACTTGGGAAGAATATAAGGCTGCTGCTAGAGGATGTAGGAAAGCTGCTAGGATGGCTAAGGCCTCCTTGGAATTAAAGCTGGCGAGAGGGATCAAGGACAGCAGAAAGAGCTTTTTCAAATACATGGCAGGTAAAACTAACACCAGAGGCAATGTAGGCCCGCTGATGAACGGGACGGGTGCCCTGGTGACAGAAGATACAGAGATGGCAGAGTTACTGAATGACTTCTTTGTCTCTGTCTACTCTGCTGGAGGCAATCCTGAAGAGCCCTGTACCGCTGAGACCCCGGATGAAGATAGGTCAACGGAGCGGTCTGCCTTAGTCGATGAGGAATGGGTTAAAGACCAGTTGAGCAATCTGGATATCCATAAATCCATGGGTCCAGATGGGATGCACCCGCGGGTGCTGAGGGAACTGGCTGAGGTCATTGCTAGACCGCTCTCCATCATCTTTACCAAGTCTTGGGAAACGGGAGAGGTGCCTGAGGACTGGAGGAAAGCAAATGTCACTCCTGTCTTCAAAAAGGGCAAGAAGGAGGACCCGGGTAACTATAGACCGGTTAGCCTCACCTCCGTTCCTGGGAAAGTGATGGAACACCTTATCCTTGGTGCCATCTTAAGGCATATCAAGGATAAGAGGGTTATGAGGGGCAGTCAACATGGCTTCACCAAGGGGAAGTCGTGCTTGACCAATCTTTTAGCCTTTTATGAGGAAATAACGCGGTGGATGGATGATGGTAGAGCGGTGGATGTGGTCTACCTCGACTTCAGCAAAGCGTTTGACACGGTCTCCCACAGCATCCTTGCGGCTAAATTGAGGAAGTGTGGTCTGGATGATCGGGTAGTGAGGTGGACTGTGAACTGGCTGAAGGAGAGAAGCCAGAGAGTTGTAGTCTATGGGGCGGAGTCTAGTTGGAGGCCTGTATCTAGTGGAGTGCCTCAAGGGTCGGTACTGGGACCAGTATTATTTAATATATTCATTAACGATTTAGATGAGGGAATTGAGTGTACTATCAGCAAGTTTGCTGATGACACTAAGCTGGGAGGGGTGGCCGACACGCCAGAAGGCTGTGCTGCCATCCAGAGGGACCTGGACAGGCTGGAGAGCTGGGCGGGGAATAACTTGATGAAATATAACAAGGGAAAGTGTAGAGTCCTGCATCTGGGCAGGAACAACCCCAGGTTCCAGTATAGGCTGGGGAACGACCTGTTAGAGAGCAGTGTAGGGGAGAGGGACCTGGGGGTCCTGGTGGACGACAGGGTGACCATGAGCCGACACTGTGCCCTTGTGGCCAAGAAGGCCAATGGCATCCTGGGGTGTATTAGAAGGGGGGTGGTTAGTAGGTCGAGAGAGGTCCTCCTTCCCCTCTACTCTGCCCTGGTGAGACCTCATCTGGAATATTGTGTCCAGTTCTGGGGCCCTCAGTTTAAAAAGGACAGGGACCTGCTGGAGAGAGTCCAGCGCAGGGCAACTAAGATGATTAAGGGAGTGGAGCATCTCCCTTATGAGGAAAGACTGAGGGAGCTGGGTCTCTACAGTTTGGAGAAGAGGAGATTGAGGGGTGACCTTATTAGTGTATATAAATATATAAAGGGGGAGTGTCACGAGGATGGAGCCAGGCTCTTCTCAGTGGCAAACAATGAAAGGACAAGGGGTAATGGATACAAATTGGAGCACAAGAGGTTCCACTTAAACCTGAGAAGAAACTTCTTCTCAGTGAGGGTGACGGAACACTGGAACAGGCTGCCCAGGGAGGTTGTGGAATCTCCTTCTTTGGAGACATTCAAGACCCGCCTGGACACGTTCCTGTGTAACCTTATCTAGGTGTTCCTGCTCCGGCAGGGGGATTGGACTAGATGATCTTTTGAGGTCCCTTCCAATCTCTAACCTACTGTGATACTGTGATACTGTGACTTCTCTCTTACAGCTTCCACTGAAGACACCAATAGTTACTGACTGCAACATTTCTTCCAACATTCTTCTAATTTTGTTTTTGGTTAAAACAGAAACAGGACTGTATTAATCCAAATATATTGCATCACTTACATAGCAGCCAATAGACAGGAAAGCCTTGTTTGCTTCCACACTGGATCTGTATTTCACAGGTGACAGGCCTGGTTTCCTAACATTTTTGTTCCAGTCAAGCAACTTCAAACAGTATCATTCCAAACACTAGAAGGAGAACAACTCCAGAGCATCCCAGATTGGCTGGAAGGAACAAAGGGCCACAAAACCAAGCGGCACTGGTTCAGCACCACGGCTAGATCCCCAAAGAAACCTCAACTGCACTGGTGAGGTGTGAGGAGATGGCATGGGTTAAATATATATACAGGATTATTCATCTGAGTGTTGTCAGGCTCCTGGTTTGAGCCCTATCCTCTGGGTTATGCTGGTAGTGGAGCTTGTAACTGTTCAGTTTCCCAGCTATTTTCTTCTTTCGCACACAACTGCTTCTAATATGTGTTTTCCAAGACTGTCCAGAAGACAGATACCCCCCTGCATACAAATGAAGAAAAATATTGTTTTCATGTTCTTTGGGAGTCACAGCATCTGAAGAATCACAGGAAAACAAAGAAGCTACATTAAGCTAAGAGCAAGAAAAGCCCTTCTATCATAAAAACCTCCCTTCCTCTGACAGAAGTTACTGTTCCTCAGTAAAGAACTAACCAAGGACAAATAATTTAAAGCTCCTTTAATGCTATAGATCTGACCTGCAGCATAACTGCAGAGGCTGTAGCTCTGTATACCACCATGTCATGGGAGATTTCAGTGAATTATTTTGAGATTTCATTGAAAAATGTGTTGAAAAGTAACTGAATATGATTTTGCAAAGACAAATAAGAAAGCTATTGTGAGTCTGGTGTGGCTTAAGTTACCAGAAATACATTTCCCCTTTAAATCTGTCACAATCAGCACAGGACAAGCTAATTATGTATCACTTCCTGCCTGCTTTTACTTCTGCTAGAACAGTCCAGCATCATTTAGTATCACCAGATCTATTTTGGAACAGCAGCCAAGATGAAAAGCAGTGCCACATTCATCCCTGCAGGCAGTTTGTGCAGATGGCAGCAGTCCATGACAATGAAAATGAATGAATAACACTGAAATGTAGGGTACAGAGGAACTATGGGCGATTCAGCAAAACTACAGGTTCTTGCAGAGAGATTCAAACTGGATGTATTTTCACACTTAGGACAGTCAAGCCTTGCAGAGTTGGTGTCATGGTTTAAGCCCAGCCGGTAACTCAGAACCACACAGCCGCTCCCTCATTCCCAGCCTTTTTTCCCCCTGCTCCCAGAAGGATGGGGAGGAGAATCGAAAGAATGTAAATCCCACAGGCTGAGATAAGAACAGTTCAGTAACTAAGGTATAACAAAAAACGCCTACTACCACCACCAATAATAATAATGATAAGGGAAATAACAAGGGGAGAGACTATAAAACTGAAAGGGGAAAAGCACAAGCGATGCACAATGCAATTGCTCACCACCTGCTGACCTATACCCAGCCGGACCTGAGAAGCGATCTGGGCCTTCCAGGTAACTCCCCCCGGTTTATATACTGAGCATACTTCATCCTTTTGCCTTGTCCAAACAGGAACAGAAAGTCAGCAAAATGATGATACAAAAGCAGAAATGTGGAATGAGAGCATGGGTACAAGGAAACACGCCTGCCAGATTTAGAATATACAGAGGGAGCGAAGAGGGACAGATGAGAAGGAAAAGCAGGACACATTAGCTTTAAACCACAAAATGAAACAAAGAATAACAAAGGCATGGCTAAAACACATAATGAAACAGAATGATCAAAGAGGACAATTCAAAGAGCAGTGAGAACTGTCCAATATGTAAGAAAAAAAAAAGAACAAACAAAAGCTACCTGGTAGAACTGCAGCAATTTCTTCCTAAGGGTTCAGCAGCAGCCTGCCTTCGGAAGAGAAGGTTCCATCCCCTAATTGACCTGCTGCCTATCAGAAAGTCAAATGAAGGGATCCATGGCACAGAAGAGCTTGTATTTGCATTCCTCTCTGCCACTTTTAATTGTAGCATGAAATAGCTTTGAAAAAATGAGCGTAATATCCCTTAAAATATAAGTCTAAATACATTTGTTTCTGTTTACAAAACTTGTACAAAACACAGTTCTCTTTCAACCACAAGAATATTTTGATTCAGTTCTATTAGGAAAAGGCGACCTTTGAAGCCTTACCATTTATCACTCAGGTCTATGACTGACAGAAAATCCACCTTCATATCACTTCTCAGCTTCTAATGATAAAAAGTATTTAGGTATTTTAGCAAAATAAACATGTTGATTTGTTGAAGATTTGTAAACAAATTTCTTGGGAAATAACGTCTGTAAACAAATTTGTAAACAAAACTTCTTGTAAACAAATTTCTTGGGAAATAACTTCTGACTTTATCATGAAAGCATATGGAAATAAACAGTGAAGGGGTCTGACTGCTGGCAAAAATTCCCCAGCATCTCTCCAGTCAGCTGCGCTAACTGGTGTTACGTTTGGGTGACTGGGATAAGGATATAGGCATGGACAGAACATTTCATCAACAACCACCAAACAACTGGTACAGTACATCAAGTTTGAAGGCAGATAGGACCTCTAATACCAAAACAACAGAACAACACGTAAATTCTCTTCAGTGACACACTGTTGCAGATTAAAATCCATGACCATGTGCCCATCAACACCTCTGATGATCATAATAATCTAACAAACACAGGACTTTGAACAAGTTGGAGCAGGAAGCTCCCCA